TAGTGTAGAAATTATCACTGGCAGAAGATCTTGTTTCATAGGAGTGAATATCTTTTATGTAAGTAAAGAGTTTGCTAATATTACTGGGAATATAATCATATTTAACATCGTACATTAGCTGTGCTACTGAATGAAAATAAAGAGATTTGATTGGTAAAATTTCATGTTCAATGAATATCGGTATTGCACTTTGAATCGATTTCACGAAAAATATTGACCTTAGAGCGCGCTTCTGCAGAATGAGCAATTTATCAGTAAGCTTTTTGCAAGCTTGACCCCAGGTACATATTCCATATATCAAGAGCGGCTGTAAGAGGGATTTATACATTTTGATTAGAGTATTTTTTGGAACAAAATGTCTCAATCTGCTGAGAAGAACTAGAATTGAGAAAGACCTTGATCCGTATAAAAAGAACAAAACATTGAATTAGAATGCTTATTTCTCCGAAAGAGGTTTTGGATTCCAGTTCACGCTATCCTGCGAAACGGCTTTCAAGTGCGGGTGTTGGTTTTCCTTTTGCTTTGGTTGAGAGAGAAAAATAGACTCTTCCGATGTAGGACGTTATTTCTGTCGCGCATGCGTGGCGTAACTTAGCAACGCTGTCATGATTTTGACAGCCGCTCTCGTCAAACAATGTTTAGCGCCACGGTGTGTTACATTTGCTCATGCGCACTACATGTAATGGGTTAAAACTGGTTTTGTTCGTTCACGATCGTGGACGGCGGTGTATCAAAGGAAACGCTCTACATCGGCAGAGCCTCCTTCCTCCCCGCCAGAAAGAAGGGAGAGAAGGAGAAGAGAGACTCTATTAGCAGGGAAAACTGAGTGAGAAATTAAAATCTTTCCCTCTCTCCGCTACTGTTAAATTATGATTCGCGGACCTTTGACGAGGGTCACAGCCAAATCTATTATTGTCAGTAATATCCTGACGTCACTCCAGTCAACCGAAACGACCTGGGTAAACCCCTAAAATTTGTTCATCGGTTTGATAAATATTCTTGCTTCAGATAGACCTTAATCATTTACCAATACCGTGAAGGAGCTACGGTGTATCTATTCTCAAAACTCATCTCAGCCAGCTAACCAAAATCATCTGAATTGAGACTATAGAAAAGGTATGTACGCTTAGTTATAATCTTACTGCGATATTTCGTTATCTTTAAAGATGAATTCTCCACTCTAAATGCACATAAACACTGTCACTGCTTCAAAGCCTAGAAGAAAACCAACTTGGTCAACAACGTCTTACAAAAGTTTTTTTTGTTGTAATGAATCGTTATTTTTGCGAAATAAGTCTTACCATTAGAAAACAGGCTTGTCGAATAGTAACTGAAATAGAATATTTTGGTTTTCTAGTTGCGATACATTCATGGATATCAAAGTAAAACTTGTACTTTTTCCAAAACTACTTCGAAAATGAAAACCTCAACTGATCGGTTGTTGATTCATCATTGTTTTTGTACACCTCATGACCATTTTCACAATCAGAGATTGAGCACGACATTGCGGTCGTAATTCGCGCTGTTACAGGGAGTAATCAAGCCACATCTTCCAGACGATATAGCATTACAGTTCACATTCGAGGATTCTTTGTGATATTCGCACCTTATCGTAACCTTCATCGACCGCATTTCTGGCTTTCTTTGGTAAGAAATCTTAATTTAAAAAAGGTTTTAAGGACATTTATTGGTTCACAAACCACGATGAAATTTCTGGCTTTTTAGTAAGAAATCTTGGTCTAGGAAAAGTTTTTAATGCCATCATTGGTTCGCAAGACGCGATGAAACATTGGGCCTCAAAAAGTCTGCATTTTTAACTCGAAAAATGTTGAATTTTCAAGACAGTAATACCGACCCGATATCTAACAAAATTTCCTTTACAAGTAGCAAGTAAATTGTGCGGCCCTAGCTAGTTTATTGGGATTTATTTCAGGGAGAATAATAGGGAAAATTCCCTTGTGCATTATCCTACGATAATATTTCATCTTCCGGGTCAGGACTGATCTCTTGATGTCTGCGAATATAAATGGCACTTATTATTCCAGAGATTTTTTCCGTAAGAATCTTTACCTAACAAGGCGAAGAGGTTCATGATATTTGACCTATGGGCTATTTTTTCAGTTTTCATCTTATATTAYATATAGCGTACTTGAAAAGCTTCGATTGTTAAGGTTGGTTGGGTTTTTTTGATTGACAGCCTACAACGGAAGTCGTAAGCCTGTAACTGCCTAGAGTGAGACAAATCAACAAGTCATGGCACGTTATCTGTAGTCTTAGCTCTCTAATTTATTCCCATATAAAAATATATAACTAATAATTAAAGGAAAATATTTTGGTACGTAAAATGAAGTATACAAATGCAGGGCGTCTAAAAACGAACTTTTATATATTTTAACCCTAGTCAATACAGTAAAATTTCATTACTCAATGTCACGAATCGTCTTCGCTTCAGTAGCCCTCTATTGTTTAACTTTTATTCCTTTTTCTTAAACTGATCAACAACGAAAGCATAAACCTATGTTGTGCTACATGCTAAACGACTTCACCAATAGATTCTTCCAAGTCGACTAAAACTTAATCTATATTGTTTTGTTTTTCTCAAAACAGAAAATATGAGACCCGTCATTTTAATTTCACTGGCTGCATTTCTATTGGCGAGCCAAGTTGCTGTTATCATCGCATTGGTTGTCCTGTACAAGAAATTCAAAACTCTTAAACAAGAGGTACACAGTTTTAAAATCAAGAAAAACAGAGCATCTCTTTCTGCGTTGACTCTTAAAGAACCTAACAAAAATCGCCCCGGCAATGAATACGTGGACGGCCAAAGACATCCTAGCACCTTAGTGAGGACGAATAGCGGAGAGAGTATTGTATATGTGCCGACACCAGCACCAGAACGAAGGTCGAAAAATTTCGACGATCAAGAAAATGGTTGTGAGTTGAATGAGGCAGCAAATGTGAGCTCTAGCTATACTCAACAGCAAGATGGAGAGGTGTATGGAAACCAAGTGGTTATTAATATGGCCGAAAATGGTGTTGAAGCAAACACTACCTACAATCCTTCTACCCCATGTATCGAAGACGTTAATATAAACTCTGGGTATACTCCCGATACTGAAGAAATATACGGTAACCAAGTTGTAATAGATATGGTCAGCTGGAGTTCTGTCAGTAATGTACAAACTTCAAACGTGAAGACAACTGACACAAATGGTACAAAATCCAAAAAATTCAAAGCCAAGAGCGCGAGTAAAAAAGCGATGAGTCAAAAATGTAAAACATCTATCGAAAACGAAAGGAAAAATGAAGATGGGAATTCTTTTCACGAAGGTAATAACACTAATGTCCAAAATGACGAAGCAATCTACGAAAACGTAAGAAGACAAAAAAGGTCATCAAAAGCCTAGACTTTTGAAATCCTAAGATTAATGCTTTTTTAAATAATTTTGTTAACATATTTTTGTAGAAATATAGACTTAAACTAAAACAGAAAGTTTCAATCCTTATGCTACCATTTTCATGGCTGAAATATTGTAAATATGCAATTCCGTTTTATGTGACGAAAGGGAAAAATCGTTGTCGCGTAGGATACAACATAACCTAAGACTGAAGAGAATCATAAGTAATCCATAAACGAAGCGCCCCATACTTTTATGGGATATATTGATTTCTTGATTTTTGAACCATGTGAATTTAGATTCAGAAGCCTAGAGGGCATACAATGTATCCGTGAAACACTAATTACTAAATTGTTCAAAATAGTAGGTGCTAGTTAAACAAAAGAAAACAATAGAATTAGCTTAAAATAGTGTAAGTTAGTATTACTAATATTTCACACGGATACATTATTTGCACTATATCATAAAAACAAATTTAATAGATAGTTATTATATTATATTAGTTTACAGACAAAAGCTTACGGCCTTTAGCGTCTATGTTTTGTTAGTACTTGAACACGACAACGATACTGTCGTTCGACTGTTCCATTTCAAGACTAATAGACCCCTTGCATGTGTAGTCAAAACAGCTCAAATTGGAGGACAAAAGAAAAGAATTCCAATCTCCTGAAAATTGGAAACCTATTGTTATGTCCTCCAAATTGAACCGCATTCCGACGTACTGCAAGGGGTCTAATAGCTAGGCTGCCTCGTAAATATTGAAAAGCGAAAATAATTTGAAGCCAGCATAAGAGCTTCGTCCTATGTTGGCAGTCGTCGGAATTTTCCTCGTCCAATYATTTCTTAATTGGACAGCAGAAAATTGTTAAAATAATAAGGTTATTCTGGATATTTATATTTATTTTATCGCCCTTCAGTCTACAGCTGAGATTATGCACTTTCGACTTCCCCATGTACTATAAAATTTACAACTTAACTGAAAGCCTTTTTTTAAAATTAGAATAGGTGTAATAAAAGTGAAATTAGATGTAATATAAATGAGCATATATGAATTTTGCTGAAAATTATTGTTGAAAAATATCATCATTTCCAGAATTTTGCTTTAATAAACAATAATTTAATTGATCTAATGTAACTCACGAAAATACAACAATTACAATGTAAAAGGATAGAAACAAATAACAGAGAGAGAGAGAGAAAGAGAGGGATAGAGAGGGGGGGGGGGGGGGGGGGGGGGGGGGGGGGTCGGATAGCGTGGCGTGTAAAAAAACCTGAATTTGCATTCCCTCTTGTCATTTTCCTCCTGATTTAGAAAAGCCCTCAGCGGGCATTACAGATCCAAAGTGCTTACTTTCAGGCCGCAATGGTTTCATTTGTTTATAGAAGCTATATAATTACGCAAAAAGATATTTTTTTCTATTTCATCCAATTTTGTAAAATAATATATAGAGGATATTTCATTTCGTACTTTTTACGTGTAAAATTTATTTTGCTAGATCTAGAGCAAAATTTGATTGTCCGCTTACGGATACTTTGTATAATACAGGATAATGAATAATTCCATCTGGATTTATCATATATCTATTTGTTATTTTAAAAAAACGTTCGCGCATGCGTGCATTGCAGTACGTTTTCCGAGAATTCTAAAGCGTCCGGATATATTAATGATAAAAAGGAATGCTTGTAGCTTAAACGAAAATATGAATATGGTAGGAAAGGAATCAAATTGAATTGAATAAGCAATCGTTATTGGGCTATCCAAAAGGTCAAAACAAGCTACAAGAAGACACCTGAAGAATGATACTAGAGACTATCTAATCCTTAAAAATTAACGCGCTTTAATACGAGGACACAACATAACACTTGGCGAACCACGACACAACGAATCTTGTGACCACAGAACTAAGGATTGCTGTCTTGAGCCGGTGAAGAGAAAATAGGATTAATGACACATTAGAACTGTTTCATTTCTTCTTTGCAGACACAGACACAGGAAGCAGGTATGTACATATATATCAAGATTGCTGGATTAAAATGGATCGGACACCAAATTAATCAGAAGTAGTCGTATATCTCATACGATTTCATATATTAGACAGTTTTTTTGCAAGAAATAAATAGTAGTCGAGCTACTAAGAAGAGTTAACCTAGAGCGTTTGATATCGCAATTGAAATATTTAGGTTTTAATCTCGATTACGAGGAAGAGATCGCTGATGAACATTGAAAATGTAGCTAGTGTAAAACTTTAGCATATTCATTTGTCAAATCTGTCTCGCCTTGCGCCCAGAGCTTTCTTCAGTGGCGGATCCAGGTGGGGGAGTCGAAGGTGTCCACGGAACCCCCCCTTGAAGGTTTGATCTTTTAGGTAATAGAAATATGTCTTATATAAATTTTGCTTAAAAGTATCCACAAAGGTAATGTTGAACACAAAATCATAGATATTTGCTGTTATAATGTTTAATTTACCTTTAAATTCCGTTACTAGATAGTAAATTAGGTGATTAGAGCCAATTTTTTTGTCAAACATCGACTAAACAAAAGAGAATTATACACAGTTTAAGAAACGGAACCCCCCTTTGAAAAATCCTGGATTGAATCACTGTTCTTGGATTCAGCATATACAGTTTTCACTGCATATATTTTCTTAACAATTCATATTTCACTTCCTAAGACTCTTGTCTCGCACAAGTTAACAAATTTTAAGAATTTTATATATTTGGGTCGTTTTTGATAGCGGTCTTTTGAAAATCTTCGAAACCACTGAGTAGATAAGATATATCCTAAGATGTGTAAAATAAGTTTTAAATCTGGCATAAATTAAAGTTTGCGTTTTTATTTCAGACAGATTATGCAAATCGATATAGATAAGTAACACATTCCTCCGTGACGGTCATAAAAGGAAATGGTATTTCAATTCTAAAAATAGAAGATTTCTGAGATGCGCGATCCTTTCATAAATATCGTACAGAGGAAGGCATAAAAACGAGGCATGTTTTTCAAAAAAGTATAATGCTGCTCCCTCACTAAAAGAAGTGTCCAAGTTTTCTCCTATTTTCACAACTTCACTAAAGGTTTTTATGTCTCTTCCATATGAGCGCGCGTTTATTTACAAAAACTTTTCCGAAAATGACTCGATTCTGAACTGATACTTCGCGCATATGGAAAAGGTCTATTTTTATTGCCGAGTGCCAACATAATTTTTTTTWATATTTAGATAGTACATTCAGCCTCTGCTGGATATGAAAAATGTGGATCTTTTGCCGGTTTGAATCTTGTTGTGGTAGAGGTCAATAATTGTTGGCATTTGCATTCGCTGTTATAATGTGCTTATTCGAGCAAAGACTGTACGATATTTCATGAAATATATTTCTTGTCACGCAATTCATTGTAATTGCTAGTAGGACAGACCAACAGAAACTTGAATGGATCTCTTTGAATGAATGAAACAAACGCGCATGTCGAAGAAGAAGGTTGTGTGACATGATCATTTTGGATATTTACTGTAATTAACATTCAAATCCGTAATCCTTCGAAGCGCCTTGAATGGAGGAACACAACTTTCAATACCATCCACACCCCCTTTTCCTTTAGCCAACGTACAGTAACAGCAGTAGCATCAACGGCAGTAGCAGCAGCAGTACCACCAGTAGCAGCAGCAGTAGAAGCTACAGCCGCAGCAGTATTAGTAGTAACAGCAGCACAGCAGCGGTAGTATCAGATGCAGCAGTGCCAGCTAGCAGCAGCAATCAGTAGCAGAAGCAACACAGCAGTATTAATAGGAGTCAGTAGCAGTAGCAGTCGTCGGTAGCAGTAGCAGCCGTAGCAAGACCGCATTGCCAATATAATGATTTATGTCTATACAATAGTATGTATGTTGCTAATGATTAAATCCATTTTTCTGTCTTATTCTTATATATTTCAGCCATGTATAAGCGTTTCATACAGGAGCTTGCCGATGACACAGAAGTTGACATGGAGTTAGAAGAGGTTAAGCAAATATGTGAAGCAGTAACACTACTGACCACCAAAATTCTCCACCATGTTGAAGACAGCATGCCGTTTTTTAAGTCCTCTGATGTCGTCCGGTGCGGTAGTATGGCTGAAGGTACTCGAATTTGGAAATTCACCGACACTGATGAAACAACCGTTTTGGAGTTTGATTTTTTATCAGTTTTAGAAAAATTTGGTGGCAATGATTTTACTGCCGAAAACTCGTGTCATGGATTCATGAGCGTAAAACAAGAAACATCCATTTTTCCTGTAGAATATCAAAACTTTTCCAATGAAGTTGGATCAATTGGGAAAATAAACACTCATATGGTTTCCTTCATGTTTAGAACAGAGCTGATGAAAGTCGTTGAAAAGCTCTGCTCCTGTTTAAAGTGTAATTTAAAAGTTTTGCCAACTGGTAATTACATTCTGGGAAACATTACTAAATCCGCCGAATTCTCTGAAGCCTGCAGCGAATGCCAAATTCACTGTAAAACAGGCACTTTGGCAATTGCCACTGGTGGGGACATTCATCCAGTAAACTGGGGATCCTCAATGATCTTCCTGTGGAAAAGGAAGGTTGTCCAAGGAATGAAGTATCCTTGTGAAAAGACTCGACAGAAACCAAAGATCGACAATGATGTTATAATATTGGTAGATTTTTTGCCAGTTATTGAAGTAACAAAGAAAGGGGTGACTCCTAAGGAACACTTGTATTACCTTGTACCAAAAATTTGTAAAAATGAGCATAATACTTGCTGGAAAATCTCTCATTGTAGGTCAGAGCTGAGCGAGCTCGTGAGCAGCAGCCGCATGCATCGACAATGCTACATGGTATTGAAGTTCATACAAGACTACATCGATTGTGAACTCAAAGGAATCCCTGAGAGCCCTAAGACATACATGATAAAATCCGCAGTTATTCTGCACATTCAATCATGTAAGAAGGAACATCCTTCTTTAGAGTCTTGTGTGTTGGAAATTATCGATTTTCTGACTGATGCATTTGAAAATGGATTTCTTCCACACTTAGTTCTGGGGTTCAACTTACTAGAAAAGTACCAGGACCCTGCGCTTCCACCAGAAGATCAGCTGTGGACTGGGAACAGGAACACAGTGATGAGCAAATGCTGGTGCTTCTTGGGCCACGTGTTCAGAAACCTTGACTCAATCGTTTCTGTGGACTACGATTTTGATACGATCCAGACAATTTTGAAGCTAATAACACTCGAATATGGAGTTTGTTGGGGGAAAACAGACTTCAGAGATTTATACCTTCCAGATGAGTGTTATTTTTTAGAAGTGCTGAACAAAATTGGCAGTGGGGATTTTCCTTCCAAAAGCGAAATGCGAAACATAACAAGAAAAACCGACATGTATCTGGGAGAAAGATATAAAGGACAAAACCGTTCTCTTCTTTACATGTGTATGATGCGCTGCCGTAAAGTTCATGAAGATCTTCTCGAAAGAAAGGCGGAATTTGACCAAGGATTAGAGCAAGAAGGTGTTCGTCAATTTCTAGAAAAATACCAATGGCTACTAAAACCTGACGAAAACACGAAGCCCTAGACGTGCAAGAAGACTCTGTATGGAATGTTACCGTTGTCCAATACGACTTAACGGCTGCGTTAAGGACTTTATTCTGCTAAATGTGAGACTGAACAGCTGACCACTATGAGGACTGACTATACTGACCTCTATGAGAACTGCCTATGATGACCTCTATGAGAACTGCCTATGATGACCTCTATGAGAACTGCCTATGATGACCTCTATGAGAACTGCCNCCTATGATGACCTCTATGAGAACTGCCTATGATGACCTCTATGAGAACTGCCTATGATGACCTCTATGAGAACTGCCTATGATGACCTCTATGAGGACTCGGCTCCGCTTCGTTTTATCTCAATTCGCCTTTCGGAGTTTGGAAATAGGATGAAACACTCTGTACCGTACTTGATATATAAGGTAACTTGTGCTTGATATTATTTGGGGTAACACTCTTTTCCGTACTTGATATATAAGGTAACTTGTGCTTGATATTATTTGGGGTAACACTCTTTTCCGTACTTGATATACAGCTATTTCAAAAAAGGTTGTCCAATACTGAACACTGCATACTGAATAGTTCATTCCAAGACCAAAGGCATTGTGGGTCATAGTGACATTGTGTCTAAAGTAGGATTAATAATAATTATTTATTCTATTGTTAGTGTATTCCATCTGAAACAATATACTAACTACATGTAGAGAGTTAATTGCTGTATATTTACTTTTTTTCAAATTAACGAGACCCACAATGCACTTTGGTCTTGGAATGCAATATTCAGTATGCAGTATTCAGTATTCAAACTTTTTGAAATAGCTGTACAAGGTAACTTGTGCTGGATATTATTAGGAGCAACCACATGGCTAAAAATCCCTTGAGATATAAATAACAATGAAACAGCCCCCATGTCGTTTGATGTAAAAGTTAATTGGAATGTTTGTTATTTAGTCAACCATTATATGGGGTTATAACGTAACATACTCTCCAAGAATGACTAATCTAGCATGAAATTAAGATGAATTTTTTAAAAAAATATGAAATTATAAAGGTAAATTTCAAAAAATGGCTTTTATTATAAATAGTGTTGTAAATTTTGCTTAAGATGAAGATTGGAATGTTAGGCCTAGGGCAAACGTCGAACTTTCCATGCACCGAAGTCATTAAAAACAATGGATATCAGGTGATAAYGAGGCRGCATTCTTTGATGTAATTAAGTTCGGTGCAKGGAAAGTTCGACGTTTGCCCTAGGCCTAAGTCTAATTTCGCAAAAATTACTGAGAGCGCATGGCATTTAATTTAATCATCATCACCATCATCATCATCATCATCATCAACAACAACAACAACGAAACTTAAGTTTAATCATAAAAATCATTAAATTATAATGTCAAGTGAAAAGTTAATAGATATGGATTGTTTTTTGCATTTGTCATTCGTCTCTACGCGGTTGTGTTCATTGGTACTGCTGGGTGATATTTAAGTTTATAATAGATCTATTGTTCATCGGAATTCATTTATTATCGAATGTGGTTCTACTTTTAAATAATGAAAGCATATGATTTTAATGTATTCGTGTTTTTCTTCAAATTCTTTGCTCAATCCAGTAAAATGATAATAGTAATAATAATAATAATAATAATGATAATTTTTTAAAACTTTGATTGTTTTTTATTTTTTACAAATATGTTTTTATCGTAAATAAGTAATTTGTACATATATTTGTTATTTTATATTCATAATCTCTTTATTAACGTTATTATAAATTTTATTAAGCATTGAAACTTTAGTAGCTATTAGAAATTATTATTATTATTAAAACGAATCTCAGAATAATGATAATAATAATAATAATGATGGGAACTATTTCATATTTTGTTTAACATTTACAATTGTAAATCTCACTACAAATGGGTAATTTACAACTGACTACTTGAATTGAATACACACACAAATACTCCTTTACACACAAAGACAAAGGAACGAAGGGGAAAAAAGAAGAGAAAAAAGGGGGTTCTAAAACTTCAAGAAATCAGGAGCGACAAAAAATATAATATGTAGATCGATTTCCTAATGATATACCTCTGTTGTTTTCTTTGTAAGCCTAACACTTGTAACCTGATGAAATCTGCATTCATCCGCGAAAAACTTTATTTACCCTGCAGAATGAGTAAGCATACATAATTATACACTGGTATGAATTAATGCGCAGAATATACATATAACGCACGCGGAAATAAAGAGACATAGGATCGAGTTTCGTTGACAGGATAGACGAACCATGCTAACGCATTCTTCTATGTTCTACCCTGAGGGTCATCGCAACAAACCGACAAGAACACTCCTGGAGAGAGGTACTAATCATTCCAAATTTTCGTTAAATATTCATTTCGCAAAGTATCCGAAACTTGTCGAGCTTTACGGAGGAATCAAGAATAGCAGTTTTGTAGGTCAATTAGATAAAAAATAACTGTGCTATTCTCTTGTCCGGCGCAGCAGATTGCAACAGTTGAAATTTTCAGGACGTTCAGGGATAAAGGTATGTATAGCACTGCAAGTTAAGTTTTCTTAAGTTTTTATTTCTCCTGGATAAAAATACGTATGAATCAGAATCGAATCCCACATCTGAATACAATCATGGGGGGACTTTTTCCTGGTTTGCATTCATTTGTGAAAAGTTAATATTCTCGACTTCTCTATGTGGTCATTTATCAACATTAAGGATTCCGCTCATACATACGGAAATGATCGAGTAAAGCATTAAACGAAGCGCGTGATTTTCACTTATAAACTCTGTTTTCGCTTACAAGTCTTTCCTGGTTTCAGCAAAGACATATTCAGCCAGCTACCAAAACATGTTACTGATTATATAGAAATTTTCAACTCCTTTCACTGTTTGCCTCTAAATTGTACAGTTATGTTAATCTGAATTTGATTATCTACAACATTGAACATGCAAGTTTGGTCTAATTACGAAACCTTCTCTTCTAGATTCTAACTCTAAGGCTAAGTTATAACTAATAAGTTCATAAAAGAATGAATAATGCAGTAAGTCCTTGTGTCACCTTTATGGACGTACTGTTATGCGCCAATGACCTAAGCGTGTGGTTTATTTACGAAACCTTTTCTTTAAGATTTTAAGCAAATTATAACTAATAAGTTACATGTAATCTAAGGCAAAGTGATGCATTTCCCTGAGTCATCCATATGCACCGTTACGACAATGGCCTATAAGCTATCGCGTTTCTTTTTTCCCCAAGACATGCATATGCATGATTCTACGTTTTCATCCCCATATCTGCAATTCATTTTACCTTTTGAAGATTTTCTTACGAAAGACAAATATTCTAAGTTAATTGGTAATGGTTTTCTCTTTTTGCTAATGTTTTTGAAAAAATTCATAATTGTCAAACTGAAGTTTCACTTTTTTCCGTAAACGAGATCTAGAAGGATAAGCAGTTAAGTTTTAGCTTTAGTCTCATAAGAACTATCGGCTGGAATAGTTTAAGTGTTAGGAAAGTAAATGGTTAAGTGTAAAGCAAAAAACCCATTTCAAATAGTTAAAAATCAAAGTTAATTTAATGATTAATTCAAAGGAGAATATTCCTAAAAATTTTTAAATGCTGAGGATTGACGTGAATATTATCAAAACATGAGATAAAAGGAAAGTAAATATTTGAACATCCTTAAAACAAATACTGAAACATGTTCTCAAAATCATAACAATGGAATTTTTTTATCTATCTTCTTGCTTTCATAACTGGAATTTTTCTAATTTATATCCTTCCTTCCTGGTGCAAGTGGTTATAGGCACTGTCATCTAAATGATTAATCGAGAGAATTTAATTGTCCTTGGAGAGAGATTGTTCAAAAAAACTTCAATAGCCGTGTCCATTAACCTCGAAGATTTCTTTCTAATGATAGAATTTTTAACAGCAGTCTTTTCAGTTACGGGACAAGGATAATTGCTAGGTTTTTTACAGCCAGCCAGGCAGTTTATCAATTGCAACATGGCTGCCATGTCGTTCGTTATTTCCCTCTCTAGGAAATGATTGCAAACAACCTGCATACTCTATATAATATTTTTGTTTGACAGTGGAAACACATTTCCCATAGAACAACATTTCCATTGTTTTGACTTACAACATGGCTACAGTGTAACACCTATTTTTGGGTTGTGTGAAATTATTTCTCGGTCTTCATTCTATGGTATTTTTTCCCATTTCAAAGGGCATGCTGTATTCAGAGCGTTAGCATTTCGCTGTTTGATTATAAATAGTCCAGATTACTCAGAACACTACACACAACATCTATCTTATTTCAATGAAACTTAGAAATCCAAAACGTTACAAAGCTGATCGATAAGAGCGGTGATCGAAGATCATGAGGAACATTTCTTATCCAATAAATAAACCTTTTGATACAAGTAGCAGCTTGAAGATGCTCACAGAAGGAGAAACTCTGACTGGAATAAAAAAAGGTTAAGTTCATTATGATTTCTCGATTTTTGAAAGAAGTAAATACAAGGTTTCGTTATATTTTCCAACTATGCAAAATGGGAATACAATACAATACAATACCACTTTATTCTCATTTCCTTTTATGTTAAATTATATATTTAAATTATTGAAAAGAAAATACTTATTTGGTCAAATAAATAAAGCTAAATATAAGTTGTAATGAAAGGAAATGCCTAGAGCCTAAATAAACCATATAGTTTCCTAGTTAGACCCTAGAAATATTTCGTAACTTTATCTAAAGATGGCGGCTAATCCAAAGATAGGACCCAGCCAGTACTAAAGTCGTCCGCTCAAAGAAAGCCAAACTGATCCAGTGAACAGTGTCGATATCAATAACATTCCCTTGCGCAACGAAGACAATGGCTTGGTGCTTGCACTGACATGGTTTTCATATGGTTTGTGGTCGTCTAGCTGTTATGTCTACTAAACTCAAAAACCTGTGGGAAAATGTACATTTTGTCAAAAATGCTGATTGTCTCAAAAATAATCCGTTATTTTTTATAATGCATGACCTGTGTTTGATAAGAACAATTTGTCTATCTTCTTACATTTTATGGAGTGCTGTAACCTTTTGTTTGAATCTTGTAACGGGTCGAGGTCAATGATTTTTGGTATTTGCATCCTGTGTTAGGAATGTGCTAATTCAAGCAAAGACTATGATATTCCTTTGCAAAATATCGATCGATTACCATGTCACGCAATGTGAGCGTTAAAGTAGTGTAACCAAAAAGGCAACGTCAGGAAGGGCAAAATGAATGTATATTTGTGAAACAGTAATGATGAAAAGGTAAATTATACACTGTGAAAAGATGAAAAAACTTACTGACGTTTC